TTTGAAGGCTTTGTACCGCTCGTATGCTTATGTTTTTGATTAAACGGAACCTGCGTAAGCCTTTTTCAACATTCGCAACGATTCCGCATACGATATTTGGTTAGAAATACAAAATTTTAGACAATTCTTTGTTCGATATTTTTATCCAATATAAAAATCGCAAAGCACTATTGAGGAGCTGCTGTATACAAACTGGTTAACAAATCGAGCTCGTATTTGGCATATTAATTAAGGGCAGTCCTACCAACTTAGCAATATACATTTCTCTGAAAGACCATTTATTCGGGGAATTTAATTACAATTTCCGTGTGTTTTTTTGTCACAATTTATGTATATCGTTCGCTGAGTCCCCTTGCTTGTTTTCAATGCTCGCTCATAATAATTTACATTCTAGAACAGCTAACATTCGCGCCTTAACAATATAATAACATTCTCTGATTTAAATTCAATAATGTTCATTGGCATTCCTTGTTCTGACGATTCTGTTCCCAATATTTCTCTGACTTTGCATGTTAAATTTCTGTCGGCAAAGTAGTGCACTGTACTACCACCACTGGCCGGCAGGTGCCTCTTAGAAGAACTGCATTGCCCAGAATTATAGCAGAGAGTGTTAAGATTCTCTGCTATCATCAACAGAGAATGTTGATAACCTACATACATTCTCTGCCAAGAAAATAGTTAAATCCTGGAAAACTGTTCTTCGTTAAAAAGCGCTTAAAATTTATTGGTTCTCATTACCACTAGAGTCTTTCCTGTTTTCAATTTTATCAAGGAGCCAGAATTTCCACCAGTTTTGCGAGAATGCGCAAATCATTTGTATTTAACCCCTTCAAGACTACTGGAACAATGTGTCTCAACAATTTTTAAACTCCTGTATTTTTATTACTTTTTCAATTGAACACCAACGTAAGCCATCCCCAACACAGCCTTTTATGGCTATTTCACAATGTAAACAAAAAATATTTCTAAAGATCAGTAAGAATATGCAAGTTCGGCAAAATATCGTCGCTTTTATCAAAAATATTGGTTGTGGTGCGCATGGGTAAGCCTCAAATTGTACACTGTTGGTATTTTACAATGAGAAAAAAAGTAAATGCACATATATGTATATACAAATTTATTTTGTAAATTTTATGTACAAATACAATGTTGCAGTTATACACGAATTTATAAAAATTGGACTTAAAACACCTACACTTTTTTTGATTGGGATATGTAATCCCAATGAAGATTTCGAATGTCAAAAAAGAAACTATAGTAAATCTACACGATGTTGGACCTTTGAGCTTGTTTACTTGAACGACGAAGACTTGAAGACTCTGTGAGCGAATTTGCTTGGACAGTGGTGAACACTAACAATTTAATAATTTAATTCTTTAGGCACCTTTCAGAATATGCAAAGCAAATTGCTATATTTTTTGGGGTTTAAGAGAAGACTCCAAAAGGGCTTATCCGATAATGCGACAAATACAAAATACAACCGTTTTGTCCCTTATATTATTTTGAAGGATGCCGTCATGTGTAGAAGTTCAGGCAAGTGAGGAAGTACTCCGAGAGCGGCATTCACTTTGAAGTGGTCAAAAACGATTATCTTACATATAGCTGAAGCAGGGTACGTGAGTAGCCAAAATAAAGAATAAATGCTGACATCACCGCCGACTAAGAAATTCGATGGACGGGACAAGGACTGAGGCTCTTGTAGCATACATATATACAGTGGCAATATAAAGATATGGAAAATTTTGTGTCCTGGAATTCACCCCGGTGGATAAACGTCTAGCCACAATGCGCATCAAAGAGAAATTTCTCAACATATCGCTGATTTGCGCTCACGCCCGACTGAAAAGAAGGACGATGTGACCAAAGAAGTCTTCTATCAGCGCTTAAAACGCACCTATGAAAGCTGCCCCCGCCAAGATATCCAATTCGCGCTGGGCGACTTTTACGCCAGGGTGACCAAAGAAGGTATCTTTGGTGTTGTGCAAAAGTCGGTAAATTCAGCCTCAATTAAAACGTCCCCAAATGAGGTGAGGCTGATCGATTTCGCCGAGGCCCAAAATATGGTTATCTGTAATTGTTAACACTAGTATACTTACTTGATATAGTATACCAATTTATGCCAAATAAAAAGCACTTTCTATCGCACAATAAATATTGAATACAGAATATTTATTAAAGTTTATTTCACCAACTAATGTATATATATATTTTTTTTTTTTTATTTGTGTAACAATTTTATTTAATTTGTATTTTTTTGGTTTCACTGCGTCACTTTGGCGGAAAGTCACAAATAGAAAAATGCGGATGTTGCGGTTTTAGGAAAAATGTTATAAATAATTGCGGGTCGACGGTCTTTCTTCACAGATGAAACGAAAAAGAGAAGGATCCCGTTCGGATCTATCGCTTTTCATAGTTTGGGTGGTGAATAGTAGATCCGAGTCGTCTCGTTGATGATCGCGTGGTTGTTGTAATAATGAGCGGTGTTAAGTACTGCGTTTGATGAGTGTTAGTGTATGTTGTGAACTGTTCTGTGATGAGGTGTTGTGACGTGACGTGATGTGATATGACGTGACGTGAGGTGATGCGATGTGGGACGTTGCAGAACGTTCATAGCCCATATGAACAATAATACTAGAGCGAAAAGCCACCAAACAGATCAATCACCACACACCACCTTTATGCAAAACTAATACAGCTATGTAAACTGTAAACTGCCGTTAAGCAATACCAAAAGTTCCGTCAGGATCGGGAAGGACCTTTCCCAGCCGTTTGATACCAAACGAGATTTCAGCCAAAGAGATTCCCTTTCGTGCGACTTCTTCAATCTACTCTTAAATAATTCGAACTAAATAGAGAAGGTACCATCTTCTATAAGAGTGTACAGCTGTTGGCGTACGGCAATGGTATTAACATCATTGCAAGACGAAATAGCTCCTGTCATCAAATACGCAATCATCACTCTCCCGACTTGGCTTCATCTAACTGTTGAGTCATAATTTCGAAGTCGTAGCTAATTTCGTCTATCTTCAAACCAGTATTTGCAACAACAACAATGTCAGCCTCAAAATCCGCTCCAGAAAGAGGAAGACCTCCATTCCGTGGGGAGATCAGGTGGAGAAGAACCTGGCTGCACTTGTTATTTCAAATTGGCTCTAAATTGTGAAAGGAAGAAACAATTGACGCGCTGTTGTTAACTCGGCTATCACAGCGTAAGCGGTTTCCACGCAAGTAAAGAAAAAGGTAATTTTAGTGGTTCGTGAGACTATGAAAGAATAAGGAGGAAGCTTCTGTATACATTTCCTATGTAAGTTTGACAGCTCAACCGGGGAAATTACAGAAAATGCAATTTTTTCTAAAACATTGTGAAATTGTCAATACTTACTTTTTGATTTCTTAATGAAACACAACTAGGTGTTAGATTTTAAATATTGTATAATTTATTTTACACATTTAATATAATTTGTTACTTCAATTTAATGTTTTAATCATTTTGTGCTAGTTAATATTTAAATAGTACATTACACAAGTATCAATAATCGTTACACTAGTTATGATTACTTGGCATTTTGATTGTGGTTAACGAGTTCTCACTTTGCTTTGTCTCTTTGCTGCGTTGCCACACATTCGCTTTATTATCATTTAAACTTGTATTTTCGTATTTATAAATTGAAATAATTTGTTGACTTTGATTTCAGACTAATTGTAATTTTGCATATATACATGCATGCGTATGACTACTTTCATATAACAGTATGAGGGTATTGATTGGAATTGCTGTTTCCCATTTTAAATGATAAAAAAAACCTTTCGATTGTTGCTATGCTCAGTACAAATTTGTCACCTCTGTTACATATTAATTTATTATACTAAATTCGTACAATTCGATGTGATTAACTCGTGAAACAGAATAACCGCTGCATTTCGTGTCTGCATGCGCTGAGGCCATTCAACTGACTTGGCTTTTGAATTCAGCTTTGAAACGCTTTTGCTTTTGTTTTCTTTCTTAATATATTTGACGGTTTTTGTTTGCAGTTCTTTTTATTTTTATTTTTCTTTTTGTTTTTGTATTGTATTTCGGGTTAGTTATATGTGGGTGTTTGCAAAGTATGGTGTACGTACAGCTGATTGAAAGTTATAATAGTATTTTTGGCACACGCTGTAACCCGCGCTCGGACTGTAGCTGAGTTCGTTCTATTGTTTACGTCTAAACATTAAGAGTTCCGGAAATAAATATATTTACATTCATATGTTATATCAGACAATATTGTTGTAATTACATATATATATATATATACCTACGAGTAACTGTATTTAGCTGAATTTCGAAAGATTCTTCACTACTTAGTTTATGTTTAATTGATAATAGTTTTCTCATAATTTCTCGGCGTCACTCATTTAGTTATTTGTTGTTGTTATTTTTTACTATTTGGTACGTTGGCTAGACCTACCCGCCAGTGACTATAAAAGTATAACCGCCGAATACTAGACTAGAGATTTGTGAGCAATTTCACTGCTGCCTGGCCCGTTTCAGATGACTTATGGCGCAGTTGCTTCCCTTTCCTCGCTTTCCTCGCTTTCTTATTTGCTGTCGCTCATTTTGATTTGCTTTACTGATTTTTTGCGCATAAATTTTGCGATTTTGATTATTTAGTATTTTGGTTAATATTTGAATTTCTTTTTATGCTAAAAAATACAGATTTTTTTTTTACAAAACTACAGACTTTATTCGCATAATTTTGGATACCTTGTATTTCGTCATTTATGCTTTACTAACTAGCGTCTATGCTTACAGTTATGCTTATAAGTTATTTCAATTTTTAAATTTGTATTTTGTTTCATAAATTTTGAATTTGGCACATGGTTTCCGAAATGTTCTTATGACAAAATAAAAATATTCAAGAAATCGTTTACGTGTACTTTCATTATTTATTTATTTATTTATTATTATTATTATATATATATATATATATATGTATATATATTTTTTTTAATTTTTTTTTTTGGATTTTTTAATTTTTCATGTCATCGTTCTCATTTTATCGTTCATTAAATTGACATAATGCTGCTCTCTTTTGTCTCCAGCATTATGTGAGTTTGATTTGCTCTATAAAAATGTAATATCTTTGTTTTGTTTTAAGAATTCCGAAACTTGAGGTTCATCGAATATTGAAGTATAAACATTGCTTGTGTGAATACTGTTATAAATAAATGCAATTCTGTTAATACTTTTTACTCATTTTCAGCTTGCGCTCAAAATTTAAAATTCTCCTCCATTAACAATAAGTTATTACTACTTTTTATATTTATCTACAATATTTTGTACATACTAAATATTTGGTTCCACATTCCATCAATATTTATTACCGAAGCAAATACAATAATAATATATGTAAATGAGGACCCTAGTAGTTCTCCGAATGCCCATAAATAATCATATTGAAACTTGTCTAACGTGTTACGAGTAACGAGTAGTTGTTGCTTGAATTTCGACTGTTAAAAATATGAGTATTAAGTATTACTTGATATACATACGGTAAATAGTAGTCTGTTACAGTGAGAAAGCGGCAAGTACCGCAATGTGTCTTATACGCGGATTTAGTTAATCGTATTGTATGTCAATAGCTACTTTTGTAACATCAGTCAGTATAAAAATTATTACAAACAATATGCTTTCATTAAAGTCTCATTACTTAACCTATAATTTATACACATTTACAAATACAAATATAAATAGTTAAGTTTATGATAAACACAAAAGTAAATGCTCACGAGCAGTTGGCTTCAAGAAGCAAGTGAGAAGCATCGAAGTGTTTGGCAGAGCATGCGCGCTCTAGCGCCGTCTTGCGTGGAAGCCGGCTTTAGACAACCTTATGATGCTGAAACATTGATGCCAACTCTTCGCTATTTTAGTTAAATATATCAATATGAATTTGCATACATATATACAATTAACGTGGTTTCCAACTGGTAATGGATATTTACACTTAATTTTCTAATTTCGTTCCATTTGAGATGATTTGGTACAGTCCTTAATCTTAAACAGTTATGCCGATGACTTACCTCTTACTTTATTGGACATACAAGCAGGTGTTTAAATAAAACCTCGCACATACAACCTCAAGTTGACTCAAGTACTTACTGACTAACATATTAACCAACACATACAAAGAGTAACTAAACGCTGGGTAGGTGGTGGGGAGGGCGTTTGGTTTGAGAGTTTGGTTAAGCATTCGGGGGTGTGGGAATGATTTTTACATGCGGCATCACCAAAAATGGATAAATGTTTGCGTGCGTGTGTGTGTGTTCGTGTGTATATTATTATTTTAAGTCTTGTAGAAATTTTGATTGATTGTCCGAAAGTTTAAATTCATCTGTATTCCTTTGTGGGCGTGTGCAGAGTTGAGTTTCCAGCGAGAAAAAGAGAGGGGTGTGACAATTTCGTGGGAGTCAAAGGTTCTTACAAATAGGGTACTCTTAACGCGTGGGAAATTAGTAAGGGATGCTATATCTATGCATTTATGTAAACAACAACATCAACATTCTCATTCACTACTGGTATTTATACCTCGTACGAGACCCCTCCGTTGGTCAGTTGAAAGTGCACGGCAAAAGTTATTCACCAAACACCGATATTTGACACACATTTCCAGTAAATTAATCAATTTACCGTTAATGTAGCAGCAAGCCCTTTTATGTGTGGCGTGTGGCGACTTGGCCACTGTGTCTGCCACAAGCTTAAAACTGCTGCAACTTCTAATCTCACACGGATATCGAGTAATCGGACTTCTCACTCAGCAATTTTTGTTGTGCTGGTGCCGGCGAGTGTTGTTGTCGCGACTGTTGTGGTTGTTGTTGCTGCTGCTGCTGCTGTGCCGGCTGAGCATGTTGTTGGGTCTTTTGCGGCGGCGGCTGCACGCAGCGCGTCTCCTGCTGTTGCTGTTGCTTTTGCTGCAGCTGTGAGGTGGTCGACGACGGTCTCGACCACAACGTTGAGCGCATACCCAATTTCAGTTTCTTCAGTGTGTCCACATCGCACTCCACCTCGGACAGCTCGATGCGCTCGGTCTCGACGGGCAGCTGGTGAAATCCGCTGCTGGGCAATACGGTGCATTCAGCCTGCAGCTGCAACGGATGCAGGGCGCGTATACCTCCAGCTCTGCTCAGTTGTTGTTGTTGTGGTTGTTGCAATTATTAGCATTTAACGTTGTTATTGTTGTTGTTTGTTGTTGGTTAGTGCATGTTTTTAAGGTGGAAGATTTGAGGGGAATACATATTACGTTCGGTCTCATGCAGCAAGCAAAGTTACATATGCGTATAAGTTTGAGTGCGTGTATATATGTGTGTGTGTGTGTGTGTGTCAGTGTACTGGCTCAGTTACATCCCTGCAGTGAAGCCTTAACTAGGCTCGTGAGGTCTGCACATAGAGTTTCCGAACCGAAAACGGACTAACCCGAAGCGGAAGCGGAAACTAGTTTGAAACTAGAGTTTCCAGAATGTACTAGCCCGAATAGAACACAAAATTCGCCCAGTTGGAAAAATTTCATTAAACATTTATAATTATAATATTAATTACTGATCTAATTTACTATTTTCTATGTTCAGGAAATTTTATTTAAAAATCCTGATTAAAGATTTGCATGCTTCAGAGCCAGAAGTATACTTTAAACTGGCTTAATTTAGTCAAACTGCTGCAGATTAAAATTCTTCCATCACTTGTTTATATTAAGGAAAAGAAACGTCAACAAATTTAAAATACCCTTTGCCAGCTTAGTTGGACTCGTGATCCATATTCAAGTATGTGCAACACTTGAGCTATTTGACTTCTCTGCTGGGATGAACTGATTTCCATATACAAGTGGTTTAAGGCTCTCGCGTAGACCTCCCTTAATAGGCTTCTAATTCTAATGGCTGTCTTTGAATATGTTTAATAGTTGTTGTTGTTTATTTCTCATGTTTGGTATTTCAAATTTATTTATAATTTTCGCAACACCTCAAACCACGAAAGGTTTCGAAATTTCATAAACAATCCAGGTCCAGAAACACAAGCGCTTGCACGTACAGTAAGGATTTCATAAATTTGTGATAATAGTCAAAAAATATCTATTTATATGGGGTAAATTGGAAATTTATCGAAACTGGAAGGCGTGTTTTGAAAATCTCAAAACTTTCAAATATTCTTCAATAAAATAATTTCGATATTTTCAATATAAAGGAAGCAATATAAGTAAGATATAATACATCAGAAAATTTTGGTAAAATTTAAAGCACATTTTTATTTCGGAGGTATTCCAAAGGTTGATGTTAAGATTCCCGCTATTTTCTGATTCGTTAGTATTTATGCGTTCTTTGCTGTAAATCTGTTGTTTTCAATTTGAAAAACTCACCGCTGTGACTCGAGATTAATATGAGAGAATATGATGAATTAATATGAAGCATTAGGCTTATTTTGCCTAACCTTACTATGTATTCTATTGCAATGGAACCCAAGGCATTAAATTTCTGGCTCGAAAATATTTTCGGTGAGAAAGCTTATAAGATATTTGAAAATTCCCGAGCACCCCAATTGGAAAAAAATCGATTCAGAACTGTCCTTCTTATATATTTTATACTTTTGTGGCTTAACCCTTCCCAGCATGACATTTAGATTTCGAAATCTCTTACTTATTTTATTTTTAAACTTTTAGTATATAACCCCTCTCCCCATGTTTACTCATAAATTTCTAGCTACTCTACACCGTCTTGCAAGCATACAGATGGACGATCGTCTCATCGATCTAATACAATTCCACTTTTAGTTGCGCGACTTCTACGCCATCCACCATTTCTGGACCCTCCAAGCCCAGCATGCACTAATCTCATGTTTGATCGATGGGATCCATATAGGTGCAGGATATTTCACTATCGTAGCCGAGACTGCTCATCAAGCTACCGCCGTCGAGGTCCAGACTACCGCCATTGGCCGTATCCTATTTGGGCAGCGTGGTTGCCGAAAAGAACTTGGAAGAGAGGGGAGCGGTGGATGGGTTGAGTATGGTGCCTACACTATCGCCGCTAACATTGGCATTCGCCACCGATGCGGGCACCGTTTTATGGGGTATGGGTCGGAACTGTGATGATGGCATGCAAGTGACGGGGCCGAGCGATGCAATGGGATTGTTACAACTATTGTCTAGTAGGTCGGTCGTTGTATCGGATTGACTGAGTTGAGTTGTGGGATGTGGGGCGCCGATCAAGTTGTGATGTTGTGGGTGATGTGCTAATTTGGGGGTGATCAAGAGGGGTTGCTGTGACAGTTTGTTTTTATTGGAGGTGGCGATGCTACTACTACAACTACTGCTGTTCGTACTGTTAAAACTATTTGTGGTTGCATTGGTGGTGACATTAGTTTTTTGTAGTTGATGTTGATGTTTTTGTAGTTGTTGCTGATGTTGTTGCTGTGTTACAGACGGTGACTTCACCAGCGTGGGTATGTGACACTGTATGGAGTCTTGTGATTTGAATGTGCTTGAGATTGATTTGAGATTACCACCACCACCACCACTACCACTAATACTAACACCACCACCACCACTAGCACTACCGCAAACACCTGTCTCTTATACACATCTAGATGTGTATAAGAGACAGGTATGGAGTCTTGTGATTTGAATGTGCTTGAGATTGATTTGAGATTACCACCACCACCACCACTACCACTAATACTAACACCACCACCACCACTAGCACTACCGCAAACACCGCGCGGTGATAGTATCTTGGTGGCACCGTTGCCGGATGTGGTGTTCATGTTGTTGTTTTTGCTACTGTTATGATGGCGCGGTGTGGTATTTGTGGAAAATTGATATTGTTGATGATGGTACCTTGAGCGACCGCGTCGTGGCAATGACTTTTGTTCGGACATTGGTGAGAGATCTGAGGATGTGCTTGATTGTGCTCCATGGTAGATGATACCTGCGGGGTGGGAGGAAGATTCACAATTATACATATTTTCACATTTCACTCAAAATTCTCCACTCACACTCGCTTTCTTTTACATTCGAGCGTTTATATTGTGTGTGTAGCTAGATATACACGTGTGTATGGGTGTGTGTGAGTAAGTAAATATATGTGTGTATGTATGTATGCATCGTTATGCAGCTGCGTGGACACGTGTAAATCTATCGTCATTTGCATTCGTTTTCGTTTTCGTTTTATTTTTCTTGATTTTTTGTTTATTTGCTTCTCGCTGGTATTTATTTGCTCTCATGAGGACAAGGTGTGTGTAAATGATTGTTGACTGAGATTGACTACTGCTTGGCCGATTGTCAAATGGACTAATTGCTATTTACAAACAAGTTTGTGTACTTTTGAATTGTAGTGTTCATAATTTGGGCAAATCTGTCGCTGAAGGCGCATGTATGTGCATGTGTGCGTGTGCAGTCAATGTCAATTTGCAAGTGTGTGTGAGTAGTTTAAAGAACATAGGCGAGAGCCGCAGCTCTCTGACGTCCTGCTTCTCTGCTCAATTGTCTACGTAGTTGTACTTGTGTTGGTGTGAGGCCGTTCGCCTGCACTTGCTACTACAGATATGTTTGCGATGTGTTGTGATTTAGAAAATGTTGCATTTTTTTAGAGTCTGTGAAGAGAATGCAGAAAACGAAACGAGACATTTTAACATATTTCTTTTCACAGCAAGCTAATGAGTTGGGTGAGAATGGTTTGAAGTGAGTTTAACTTTCGAAATTACAGTACACAACTTGCTTGGCTTGGCGGATTAGGTTGAACATTTGGCTTGGAGAGGTACAACTACGAGCTGAAATCAGAGATGGAACTCACTACAAAGAAAAGGAACTGCTGTTTGGCTGTGTAATTGCAGTCGAACGGTGTACGAAAGTGTTCAAAACGGGATTGTTGTAATAAGTGCAGGAAGAACTGGGTGCTGAACTCGTCAAATACAGTCTAAATTCGCAATTCTCCAATTTAATTATATGCAAAAACATCAGTGGAGAATTGTGTACCTTTTTTAACAGCTTTTGTGCAACCCTGTCTTTGAACCCGTAGTCCGATCTATATTAAATTCTTCGAATGATTACGTCTAAAGCTTACCAACATATTACAGCTAATATGACGTCATCAAAAACAACTGAGCTTTCCAAGCTGATAGACTTTAAGGCACACTGGTTGCAATGTTTTTGCATATAACTGATAAATCTCATCGAAAATCAGCAAAGTATGTGGAAGTTTATAGCAGGTTGTGTAATAAGTTCTGTCGTTCGATAAGAGACAGACCTTTTTTTTTTCTTTTTTTTTTTTTTTCTTTTTTTTTTTTTTTTTTTTTTTTTTTTTTTTTTTTTTTTTTTTTTTTTTATTTTTTGGAATATTGACCTAAAGTGATGAATGTTTTTCTAAAATTCGGAATTTGATTGAATAAACGTCATTTTTATTTCGAAACGTCGAAAGGCTTTAATATGCCTTTAATTTTCTTCTAAATTTTATTTTATTTTTTAACAAGTTTGCCGAATACCAGCTAAATTATTTCCCAAGATTGAAATTTTCTCGAAATGTTATTATTCGAAATTTTTATTCCGAAATTCTGTTATAAATTTTTTCGAAATATAATTGTTCGAAATTTTTATTTCAAAATTCTGTAANGTCTAAAGCTTACCAACATATTACAGCTAATATGACGTCATCAAAAACAACTGAGCTTTCCAAGCTGATAGACTTTAAGGCACACTGGTTGCAATGTTTTTGCATATAACTGATAAATCTCATCGAAAATCAGCAAAGTATGTGGAAGTTTATAGCAGGTTGTGTAATAAGTTCTGTCGTTCGATAAGAGACAGACCTTTTTTTTTTCTTTTTTTTTTTTTTGTTTGTTTTGTTGGTACACTCTTCATATGAACGTATGTGGAGTTTCATTTCAATTTGTCAATGCACTCTTTGTTTATAAGCCATTTCGTGTCGCCGTATCACAGTATTTTCTACAAAATTTTAATTTCGTGCGGTGATAAAATTTTTCTTTTTGGAAGGTGCAGCAACAAAAGAAACTTACGAACGAATCTTAAAAGTGTATAATGATTGTTCAACTACAATTAGAACAGTAGAAAGATAGATTGCTGAATTTAAATGCGGTCGTACAAAACTTGAAGACGATCCACGTGAAGTACGTCCAAAAAGCGCATCAACACCAGAAATCACAGCCAAAATACAGGATATGGTTTTGGAAGATCGTCGATTGACTGAGAAAGATTTAGGAGAAGCTTTACATATATTGGTACTCAGTTTGAGCCATATTGTAATAAAAATTTTGGGTTGTAGAAAACTGCGTGCACAATGGGTGCCCCATTCGTTAACAATGGAACCAAAACATATTCAATTGCGACTTTCTCAGCAATATTTGGAGCGTTTTAAAAAGGATAAAGTGGATTTTATTCATTGATTCATCACTATGTTTGAGATTTCGGTTTATCACCATGATCCTGAATCAAAAAGCGATGCTAGAGTGGTCTGAACCTGTTTGTTCGGCTTCGAAACGAGTTCATGCCAGAAATCGGCCAAGAAGATTATGGCATCAGCTTTTTGGGATACCAGAAGAATGTTGTTTGTGGATTGTTTGCAAACTGTTAAAACAATTAGTTCTGTATATTGATCCAACCTTTTGGACCAATTGAAGGACAAAATTCGTGAAAAAAATCCGGTTTGCAGAAGAAAAAAATTCTTTGTCATCAGGACAATGCACCGTGTCACTAGAGCATTTTGACAATGGCTAAAATCAATGAATTAAAGTTCCAATTATTGGATCATCTACCGTATTTATCAGATTTGCTCCCCAGCGACACAGCGTATTTCGAAAAACTTCCGGATTCTTACTTCAGTGATGGGATCCACAGATTGGAGGATCGTTGGAGCAAATGTATTAATGTTAAGGGAGACTATGCCGAATAATAAAGAGTATTTTGAAACATAAAGTCGTGTTTTTCTTATCAAACGACAAAACTTTTTCAACAACGTGATATTTTGACAGTATTCGTTTGAGTTTGCAACCATCTTGCGGAATACGAGTTCGTAACTGTTCCCTCAACGCAGTTGTAAATCAACTGAAATATGTATAAATCTTGTGTGAGACGCATGCATACAAATTGCGTGTGCCAGCGGGAGTGTATGAAGCGCTAAACAATAAAAACCAAAACAACAACATATTGCGGAACTTACTGTGCTTGATTTTTCCCTCGTGCTGATTGGAAGACTCTGTGCGGCTTGAGGTCAATTGATCCTGATCCGATTCGGACTCTTCGCTCTCCGGCTCCGTTTTACGCGAGTGACGTCGCCGGTTCTTCGAGGACTAAACGCAAACCAGCGCAGCGTGCGAAGCCGCATGAAACGAGAAATGGGAAAATGCAGAAGTCAATTAATTTGCGTCCGACGGTGGCACTTATCATGAGATTGAAGCGAGCCAGGAGGAGGATTTGCATTTACACAAAAACAAAAACTCAAAATACTCTAAAAATACAGTTACCGTCAACACTATAATTTCATTTGAATTCATTTCACAAAAAGCGGTGCGCAAAGGTATTTCTCATAAACGTGACTCTTCTGGCAGCTAAATAACGTTTCTGCCATGTTCTAAAAACTGCACCAATATTTACATCAACAAAAATAATAAAAAATCATTAATGAAAATAAAATAAAATCGAAATGTTCGTTGAACAAACTTCTAAAAATAATTACAAAATCAAGAAAGCGCTGCAGTCAAGCTATTTTTAACTACTTCACTACATCCTTGTACATCAAACTAAACAAATTAATCAAAAAACGCTTGAAAATTATCAAGAAACTAAAGCAAAGGCTGACTCTGATTATATGATTATATGATATATCCTTTTCTTTCTGACACCTTTTAAAGAGCTAGCGAAATTGAAACGTTCAACTTAACAACTTAAGTTTAAAGAAAAAAGTCTGAGACCAACAAATAAGAAAATAAACGCACGATATTATGAAATGGCGAGGTCTGATAATGATTATAGTTTGTCATTGATGGACGTTGACTGTGGTTGTAATGATAGTTGAGGTGATGGTGGTGGTTTTGGTGTTGGGTTGGTTTTAGTACCGCTGCGGGTGGTGGTGACGAGCAGCCCTCGGTCAGAGCACGCTCATGGTACATGAAGGAATGCAAAAGCGTATTAGCCGGGCCGGCGTGATGTGGCTGTGACATGTTTCCCGTCTCGGATAATTGAAATGTGGCGTACGGTGAAATATCCTCGGATGTCTCTGCGGGCAGAAGGAAGAGAAAGCAAAGTCAATGGCGTGTTTACATAGCGAGAAGCATGTGTGTACGTACTACACACACAGACATATAACATACAACAACCAACAAATGCTACTAATTAGTAAATAATTGAAATGGAAATGGAGATGTAGATGTAGATGCAGTCGGCTTTGACATTGCGTTTCTCGCATGACTACGCAGGGAGGCTGTGATTGCCAGTTGGTAGGCGCTGAGATTTATTTAATTTGCCTTAATGGCGAGCAATGTCATTGGACTTTAGCATACAAGGCTGCAAGTATACCTAAAAATATATATACTCGTATACATATACATATATATACGATTGGACAAGATTTTAGAGAGATGCATCGTCTAATGCGCCATTTTGTTTGAGAAAAGCTTGAATAATTTCTTGAAATCTACTCCAAACATTTTCAGCGAACTTATCGATTATTTTACAGCAATGGGTTCAGTCTTTATTTTCGTATTTCTAATCAAAATTCAACTTATTTTTTTTATAGTGTTATTTTTTTGTTTTTTTTATTTATCTGTAACGACCACTTTTCCGTTAGAGACATTATTTCATCAGTGTAAAACTTCTCTGGTTTCTCGGCGAAAAACTGCGCCAAGTAATTTCCACAGGCTTCCCTTGAAGCCAACTTTATTCCATTAAGTGAGTTCTTCATTATCCGAAACATATGGTATATATGGTTGATGCATAAAAACTCCCAGCCAAACTCTCTCAGCAGTTTTGCCGAGTCACCAGCGTTGTCCTAATGGAAGACGAAGCCCTTTCTGTTGATCAGTTCTGGCCAGTTTTTACGATTGCTTGCTTCAATCGCATAAGTTGCTAACAGTAAAATGTAGAAACAATCGTTAGACCAGACTGGAGCGTCTCATAGTGGATGATTCCTTTCCGATCCTACCAAACACTCAGCATAACCTTTCGAGGCGTCCATCCTGGCTTTGCGACCATTTGTTGAGCTTCACCACGCTTGGGCCATGATGCGAAAACCGCACATTATTGTCGTATTTGATACGGTTTTCGTGTTCTGTTAGATTCCGTTTCAGAAATGGTTCAATTTCATTTCGTTACAGAAAGAATCGCAGATGTTAAACGGTTCATTAAATTTTTCACAGACAACTCACGTGGTAGCCAAACATCGAGCTACTTTTTGTAGCCAGCCTTTTTAAATGATTCAAAATTGTTTGATGATGATAGCACTGGAGATATACGACTGCAATGACATCTATTAACAAACTACGAAAAACTTTTTCGCCTACCCAATATGTGCAAGTCTTTATCATATATTCAATCTTCATGTACCGCTGAATAAATCGTGACTCCGAACAGTAAAATGTCCAAACAATACTTATGCAATGGCGCGTACTTTCCATTTCCTTTCCAACGATCACGAAGCCTTACAAATTTTACAAATACAAAACTCCCGAAACAATTGTAGAAACTCACCCGGTATTTTGTCGTTATTCTGCATGGACACTTTATGAATGGTGGCATAATAGCGTTCCCGTTGCGCAGCCTCTGAGTTCTGCCGATTTTCCAGTGATTCCTTTTGTATGCGGTTACCTTGCTCTAAAGCAAATACAATAAGAAAAAGAAAAAAGCGACGCATGTAAATCAGTTATGGGTGTATGTGAGATGGAGATGGGATTCGCAAGCACGGCGTGCCACAAAACAAAGCAAATCTCAACAACACAGTCGCATCGAAAGTAGAAGCACCGTGTTGTTTACAACCCTGCTGGGTTGTGTGAGCGTCATGGCAATTAAAATTCAATTTGTTGTAACAATGTGAAATTTATTTTCTCGGCGTGCACGAGGTATATGGTAGGATCTATATGCCGCTCTGCTAAATCGAATATACGCGGTTCCATATCGTTGGGTGTGCATGCTGACCTCTCCTTCTTCATGTCCGCGTGTGTTTGCTAGTCACGGACAAGAGCTCTAGCGTACTCTTGCGATAGTTCATTCACACCTTGGCCACTTTGTTTGTTCACTCGTTTGTAGGTTTTCTGGCAGTGTTGTGTTTGCTTTGTTAGACTTTGATTTGTTTTGCTTTGCCGGTGGCAATGAATGACCCACTCAGGCATTCGCAACCACATCGCACCGTCCTGTACTACCCACACCGCTCACATACACACACACACCGCGTTCAGTACTTACTGTGTCGATAGCACATGACCACCAGCGCAATTGTGCAAATCATGCCAGACAACGTGGCGATGCTCGGTATCAATAGATTCACATTGCCATAGAAAACCTTCGAGCCACGTTGGCCGCGCTGTACAATCTCCGGCGGTGGCTGCTCCCCATCCTTGGTGAGTGTGACGAATGTGAACTCGGCCTGTGATACGCCGGCCACATTGTGCGCCTCCATGCGCAGCTGGTAGAGAGTCGATGGTTGCAAACCGGAAATGGTGAAACGACGTTGCGGTTTCAATGCGTTGGATACTGTGAAGATGGAGCATATGAAGAGGAATGAGAGCAATAACAATGAGGATATTTAAGCAGTAAACTCTAAAAGTGTTATTTGTTGTCGGTGAGAGTCAGACAAACACAAATACTTTCAGAGTACAACCGTCGGCAAAAAATAGTAAGACTTTTTAAGTCAAATTTCGCAAGATACCCCATTCGTTAACAGAGGCGATGATTCTAAGATAAGTGCTTACGACCCGGAAACAGATTATCTATCGGCCAAATAGCATGACGAAGGTGTGTCGAAGCCGAAAATCCACCTAAAATCAGTTCAAAACTCAAGGTTATGTTGACAGTTTTCTTTGATTATCGAGATATGGCGCCCTCCGAGTTTCTGTCGACAAGAAATAGTATTTAAGTGTTATTAGTCGTTAATGTCTTACTATTTTTTGCCCACACTCTTATGTAAAGTTAAGCTTCCGAAAGAGAACTTGAATGGTATAGATGGAAGATGAAATGGAATAACGGTAACCCTTCCAAAAATATTTCGATTATTTCTCAATGGATGTTTCTCAAAACCTGGAAGTTCACACGCAGCGCGGTAAGTATTCAATTGAATTTGCTACGGGTTAATTAGCGATGTCGAACAACTAAATCACGCCAACATCACTTTCACTTACCCAGTATCCAGTCACGCTCTGCCTCATCAGTAACTGGGCGATATTGTAGAACGAAGTAGAGAATGGGGCAACCATTATCTGGCCAAGTGTGCAACCGCACTAATACCGAAGTGGAGTTGGGCGCAATCAAGCTCGTAGTCGAAGGCATACCTGGGGACTGGCCTTGAGTGCGCACGTGGAGAGTTATGCTGGCCGGTGAGGTGCCCACTTTATTGTGAGCAGTCAAATGGATTTGATAAGTGCTACCACAAACCAGTCCCTTCAGCTCGTGACTTGACGCGTGACGCGACAAAAGCATCTCATCCATATTGCTGTTGGCGCGCCGATAGAAGAGCGTGTAGCCAGTGATGGGTGCATTGCCGGTGAATCCGCACTTCCAGTGCATCAAAATACTGCTGGAAGTTGCGCTGGTTACATAAAGCACCGGCGCCGACGGCGGCACCTGCACAAGCAGCACATGCGTGAGACGGTCTGTGCCGATGCCATTGTCCACTTGACAACTGTAGTTGCCGCTATCCGAAATTTGCAAACTCGAAATGATTAGGTCGCCCGAGTCGAGTAACTGTGAATTGTGCAGACCACCTTGTCGCAGTGGCGTTTCCGCTTTGTACCACTCGCGCTTCGGCTTGCCCACAGCCGTGCAGGGCAATGTGACCGTTGAACGCCATGGTCGCACTATCGGACCGCCGAATGAGACAATGCGCGCAGGCACACGATTCGTTGTGATTTGCGATGCAACACGTGAGCTCTTGCCTTCGCCGACACGCGTCGATGCGGTCACCCAAAACTGATACTCGATGTGTGGGTGCAGATTCTTCGCTTCGAAGTGCACTTGCTGCGATGGCAGACTTCGTTTTTCGTTGTTCAATTCCTCCCGGCCATTTACCACACGCATATACAAGTTGAATTTTGTGATGACCCCATTCGGCTCTGTTGGTGGCAGCCAGGACACATACAAAGATTGTGGCGTGCTAACGACCACCTTAATGTCTGCGGGCGCTTCGGGCGCATCCTCCTCAGTGTGACAGTACAATGGGTTGGATAGAGCACCGTCACCCATGCGTGTGTGCGCCAACACTTGAATGCTGTAGTTGGTGTATTTACGTAAGCCCGTCAGCACCGTGGTCAGCGCGGTTGTCTTGCGTGATTCAACTTCGTCCTTGTTGAGTGAGAAGTCATCTAGAATAGGCTCGAAAATGAGTTTATAACCCTGCAACAGTCCATTGGTGTGATATATCGGTGGCGGTTGCCAGGAAACTTGCAGCGATTGCGAGGTCAACGCTGCGCAACGGATATCCTCAGGCGGTCGACTCGGCACTATCACATTGAATATAAATTGATTCAGCGCAAACGAAAATAATATTTAAAATAAAAACAAATATGAAGCTACAGCCAAAACTTACCATCCTCCATGGTTTGCGCCGACACCGGTTCGGAAAGCGGGCCGGGACCCACTTGATTGAATGCCTGTACAACCACATTGTAGCGCGCGAATTTCTGTAGGCTACTTAGCAAGAGTTCACCGGTGCCGCCATCGCCGTCACCGGATACCGAGGTAAAGTTGTAAGCTGAATTACCCGAACTGGCCAACTTGTAGCCGACGTTGTAGCCTTGTATATCGCCATGACGCAGTTCGACCAGCGGCGCCAACCAACTGACAAGCAACTCTGTGGAAGACAACGGACGAACGGAGAGATTAAGTGGTGGCCCGGCCGGGCGTTGTGGCTCGGTGCGCACCACTAACTCTTGGCTCGGAGCACTGCGACCGGCGGTACCTTCGGCTATCACTCGAAAAGAGTAACGGGTGGCCGGCTTTAAATTCTCGATAAGAGCTGTGTAAGTTGGTGGATCTTTCACCTCGACATGCTGCCATTGCTCAATGAAGAGCGCTGTAAGGACACATTGCAAGATAGTTAGAAAAGTAGGGCTCTAAATAATTTTAAAAGGAAAAGCAGTTAAATCGGAAATGGTAGGATTCGTAATTCGATGCTTTAACAGTGGTCATTCTAATTAAAACATTTTCAATTTTTTGACTTCAATACAGTTCTACATGCTCTGGGTTTGGTTTGAAATGCTTGCTGCTAAATAATAATGTTCTTCCAGTATTGGCCCTTGTATTTTGCAACTTACGGTCCATTTCCTTGAACTCCACAATATATTTGGAGATGTCCGCTGTATTCACGCTTTTCGGCTGCCACTTCAAATTCACCGAACGGCTGGAAATCATGGCCGCCTCCAAAACAGTGGGCGGTTGCGGTGGCTCCTGCACTTGCAGCTGCACCAACTGCTGATCATTGCCATACAGATTGCTGGCGCGACAGAAATACGGTCCACTATCGCTGGCATCCACCATCCGTATCTGCAGCTCGGCAGAAACACCGTCGGGCGTGGCCTCCTGCTTCACCGAAATTCTGCAATGACACAAATGTGAAATGAAGCGGAAAAAATGCAACTCATCATTTGTGGAGAAAATGCTCCTGTGGGAAATATGCGGACACTAAATAACAACTGATAGAATTAACGCTTGCGGGATGAGGGGAAAGATTAATGAGCAAAATGAAAATGATGCAGGAGTGTGTTGAGGGAGTAGTGCTGGGGCGGGTGGTGTTGATTTGGAGCTGCGAGAGCTAGCTACGGCTGTCCCTCTCGACCTACTTGTAATTTGTTGATGGATTCAGTGTGTTTTTGCCCGAACGCATCCAAACGATATTAATCGGTTTGTCACCGCTGACGGAGCATTGCAGCAGTGCAGTGTCACCTTTTTTCACCATTACCGAGCGTGAAGTGGATGAGAAGTACGGCGAGGCTGTATCATTAAAAATGCAAACAAACACATGACACATAAATAAAGCAGAATTCACAAAGTGAGTTGTAGAAAAGTCTAAAAGTTCGCGCACACACACAAAGCAAGTGCTTGATTATATCGCACGCGTGGTAAGTATTACGAGCACTCATCTGCACACACATACTGCATGCATGTGGAGCCTCCTCTGCGTATATAATTAATGCCTCAAGCTAGAGGTTCGTGTAATTTGGGCAATATTTTTATTTCCACTGAACACACACGCACGCACACAACAGTTTAAAGCGATTTCTTTTGGCTCTTCGTACTTACAGTTAACTTTTAATTGTATAACCTTCCCGATGCCGGTGCCGATGCCGTTATTCGCTTGGCACAGATAGAAACCCTCACGATCCTCCTTGACGTGTTGAAGCAGCAGTGAGCCATTGCTCAGCAGCTTGGTGAAAGGTCGCTCTCGCACCTCCTCATACTCTCCCGACTTGCTACCTAGAAGTTACATGTTTAGATATTTATTAGAATTAATGTTTTGCCTAATATCTCAAAGTGTTGCTCAAAGAACTTGGAATATTCGGAAGGAATTACACCGCTTGGGTGCACATAAATATTGCGTTTCGAGGCTTCTAAAGCTGTAATAGACTTATAACGGATACCAACTTTTCATTCTAATACACTGAATTTGTTTTTCATACTTAGTTGTTTATTATTTATAAAGCAATTTTAAATGTTTTCAGTTATTGATTTCAATATTTGCAGCATAGAATTTTCGAAACAGTCAATTTTTGTATACACTTTGTAGCAGTATACTCCCACATACCTGTAGCCTTCTTCCAAACGATGCTAGGCGTTGGCACGCCCTGCGCCTGACAATGCAACATGATGTGACGGTTGCGTTCCACATTTGCGTCGGCCGGCTCGACAATCCAACGTGGCGGCACTGCGCGGCACCCCATTCGAAACCACAAGCCGAGCAGGTTGACCAAAATAAATGACAAATGGAGATGACCGGTAACAGCATAGACAAGCGCGCAGCAACGAGCGAGAAGCAATAACAAAAAAGTGGGCAATTATAGCAAAGCCAGAATGCGAATCGATAATGCAATAAATCAGAGTGGAAATGGACGAAACAATTGGAAATACTATTTTCATAGTCGTCAACAAAAAAGAAATAAACGAAATGTTTAATCAAGAAATGAACGATTTTGAAATTTAAATGGGACAAATTATCAGCTTACTTAAGGCGTTTTATTTTCGCCCCTTAATTACATAACATTCAAAGTAATTCAAAGTAAAGGTTAACCGAAAAAAATATTGAATAAGAGACAGCCAGAAAGTTCAGAAGTAAGTTCATAGAAGAAAGTTGAGCAACAGTAATTTGAAAGATGTTTGTAATTGATTTTATTTTAATTTCATTTACAGTTATTTAAAGTGTGGAAGTGAACTAAAAAACTACGGAATTGAAGGCATTTCAACGGTACTTAACAATAAAGAATGAATCCGAACGCCGAAATATGTGAATAATGAACTAAATGCATTAGACCTTAATTGGAATTATTTATGCAACCAAAGTCGATAAGAACTCAAACATAAAATGTAATAAATTCGTTGAACTTTCCATACTTTTCAAGTTGTACCTTTTTTCTCTGTCTTACATTGCTGCCAATAAAGTTAGATGCTTTATTAAGTTGAAGCTCATCGAACTGTGTGTGCAAAGATTTTTCAGAAGGCATTCGTAATCAAACCGAACCTGTTATGTTACTATTTCGCTTTTATATCTACCATAGGGTTAATAGTAGAACAAAATGTAGATCTATGAAATAATATTGATATGTTTGGCAGCTTTGCAATATAAACTTCAAGTGTGGGTGTTCAAGAGCTCAACAAACATTGATGCTGACGCTCAGTCTTTATGATACCATGAAATAATAGTTTTCGCTTTAAAATGTTCTACTCCAAATTCCATTGTTTTTATTTTTATTTTTATTTTTTTTTTTTTTTTTTTTT